AATGGACAGTGAGTGAGAGAGACAGAGAGAAAGGTCTTCCTTTGCCGTTGGTTCACCCACCAGTGGCCGCTGTGGCTGGCGCGCTGCGCTGATCCAAAGCCAGGAGCCAGGTGCTTCTCCTGGTCTCCCATGCGGGTGCAGGGCCCAAGAACCTGGGCCATCCTCCACTGCACTCCCGGGCCACAGCAGAGAGCTGGCCTGGGAGAGGGGCAACCGGGACAGAATCTGGCGCCCCGACCGGGACTAGAACCCGAACCTGGTGTGCTGGTGCCGCAGGCGGAGGATTAGCCTATTGAGCTGCGGCGCCAGCCAGGGCAGTCTATGTTTAAATCCATCTGTAAGAGGCGTGTCCCTTTTCTGTGTTGGGTAGAGGAGGATCACCCACACCTACTGTACTGAACGACCCGGGCTCTGCCACACTTCTCCTGGTCCCCCTGTAACTGACCTCCCCCACCCCGCACAAGCTGCAAGCCCCCTTTTCCTAGCTTAGCCTAAGAGGCTATGTAAGCCCCAATTCCAGCCACCCCTTGGGGTTACTCTCCAGGGGTTGCTCCGTGTGCGTGTGTGCGCGTGTGTGTACGTGTGTAACCCGTCTGTGTTTGTTCAGCTCCTTTGCCAGGGCCTGATGGGTACAGGAAGAAGGCCTTCCCCCACCCCAGTTCTGCTCTCCCACAATTGTGACCTGGCTTTTTTATTTTTTTAAAGATAAGATTTATTTATTTATTTATTTGAAAGTCAGAGTTGCATAGAGAGAGAAGGAGAGGCAGAGACAGAGAGAGGTCTTCCTTCTGCTGGTTCACTCCCCAATTGGCTGCAACTGCTGGAGCTGACAGAGCTGAGCTGATCTGAAGCCAGGAGCCAGGAGCTTCTTCTGGGTCTCCCACACGGGTCAGGGGCCCAAGGACTTGGGCCATCTTCTACTGCTTTCCCAGGCCATAGCAGAGAGCTGATTGGAAGTGGAGCAGCCGGGTCTCGAACTGGCGCCCATATGGGATGCCAGCACTGTAGGCAGCGGCTTCACCTGCTGCACTACAGCGCCAGCCCCCCCGCCCCTTTCTTATTCCACAGCTTGTCCATGTCATGATTTTGCTAACCAGTTTCCTTCCCTTAGACATTTAAATAGTTTCCACTTTTGATTTTAATACCGCAGTGTATCAAAATAGAACCAAGACTTGGTGCAGACTCTTCATTAATTTCCTGATTAAAAATATTTTCAATGCTTCTGATTCACAAAGGCAAACTGCCCATTCAAAAACTGTATTTATTTTCATTTCTGCAGGCCATGAACGATAATGCCCGTTTTCACCATCACCAATACTGTGTGTTTTCATTTTTTAAATGAAACAGGAAATACATCTATGTTAAAAACTAACATGTCAGGGCGAGCACTGTGGTGCAGTGGGTTAGGCCACCGTCTGCAGCACTGGCATCTCGTATGGGCAATGGTTCGAGTCCCGGCTGCTCTGCTTCTGATCCAGCTCCCTGCTAGTGCGCCTGGGAAAGCAGCAAAAGTTGGCCCAAGTTCTTGGGGCCCTGTGCCTTCGTTGGGGACCTGGAAGAAGCTCCTGGCTTCTACCTGGCCCAGCCCTGGCCGATGCAGCCATATAGGGAGTGAACCAGCAGATGGAAGATCTCTCCTCTCTTTCTGTTTCTCTCTCTGTAACTCTGACTTTCAAATAAATAAGTAAATCTTAACAACAACACCAAAAATCCAATATTTCTTGATGGAAAAGCTAACTATGGTTTTGCAGATTGTTGTGCTTCTTTTGTGAGTTGTTCCTCTTATGACCTTGGCTCATTTCAATATTAAGGTGTCTATTCTTTCTGTGTTTACAGGAAATATTTAATTTTAGGGATATTGATCTTTGTCATACATCTTAAAAATAATTTGTCTCTTTTAGTACTTGGTCTTTCAAAATTTTAAGGCTAAAGGTTTGAAGTTTCCCACAGTCCAATCTTCCATCCTCTGGTTCACTCCAAGGCTGGCTGAGGCTGAAACCAGGAGCCTGGGATTTCATCCAGGTCTCCCATGTGGGTGGCAGTGACCCAACTGCTTGGGCCATCTTCTGCTGCCTTCTCAGGTGCATTAGCAGGGAGCTGGATTGGAAGTGGAGCAGCCGGGACTCAAACTGGGGCTTGTGTGGGATGCTGCATGACTTCCCAAAGGTATCTTTCTCTTTCTTTTCTAATATATATATTAGACTCTTCTCATATGTTTGGTATTTCTTCCATAAAATATTTCTTCTGTAAACTGAAAATTTATATCTGTTATCCATCCTAGAAGTATTTTTAAATTGATAGGAATTAATTCTATGTCATGGATATGAATAATTTTTGTATATATTACAGATATTTTATCATACCTTTACATAGTGTTCATTATCTCTTTGCCTATATATAAGTTGTGCATTTTTATGTAGTCAGTTGTGTCCGTATTTACTGTATTACTTCTGGGTGGTGTGGTTTATGTAACCAGGTATTTCATACTGAGAGACACAAAAATATCTTTCTAGATTATCTCAGTCACATTAGTAGTTTTTTAGCATTTAAAATTTTAATCCAAATTTTAATCTTTTTTTTAAAAAAAGATGTATTTTATTTATTTGAAAGTCAGAGTCACAGAGAGAGGTAGAGCCAGAGAGAGAGAGAAATTTTCCATCTGCTGGTTCACTCCCCAAATGACCGCAATGGCCAGAGCTGAGCTGATTTGAAGCCAGGAGCTAGGAGCCTCTTCTGGGTCTCCCATGTGGGTGCAGGGGCCCAAGGACTTGGGCTATCCTCCACTGCTTTCCCAGGTCATAGCAGAGAGCTGGATCAGAAGACGAGCAGCCGGGACTCGAACCAGCGCCCATATGGGATTCTGGCACTCAGGACAGGGCTTTAACCTGCTGCACCACAGCACCGCCCCCCAAATTTTAATCTTTTCAGCAAATGACATGAGCTGGGGATTTATTAGACAGCCATGAGGTAAATATTCTATTTAGGCTTCCTTTTTGTCTAGTGGTAATTTTCCATTGTTTGAACTTAATTTCATTTCTGGGCAACTTTCTGAGAAGTAATATGCATCCTTGAGCCTCAGGTTGAAGGGAAGAAACGCAGCATGCACAGCTTTCAGGGTTTCTACTCTCTGTGTCCCAAGGAATCACGAAGGTGGAAATTCACTTGGAAACCTGTGCTGGGTGGCCCCTCTTTTTTGGACTGGATGTCTCTGTGCCTCGGTTTCAGGGGTGCACCCATCCCTGGGGCACTGTTTGTACTTGAATCCCAAATTTCCTTTCTCCTGCTCTCGCCCAGCCCCTCCCACTGTTCTTCCTCCTTATCAGTGCTTTTTCCGAACTATAATGTTAACCACCTTCAATGTTTTGGAATATTTTCTGGTTGCTTAATAGCATTTCTTTGTCTCTGTGCCTTTGTTTGTTTTGGAATAGATTTTTACTTACCTAACTCTGAATTTCTTTCTTTTTTAAAAAAATTTATTTTATTTATTTGAAAGTCAGAATTACAGAGAGAGGTAGAGCCAGAGAGAGAGAGGGAAATTTTCCATCTGCTAGTTCACTCCCCAAATGACCGCAATGGCCAGAGCTGAGCTGATCTGAAGCCAGGAGCTAGGAGTCTCTTCTGGGTCTCCCATGTGGGTGCAGGGGCCCAAGGACTTGGGCCATCTTCCACTGCTTTCCTAGGCCATAGCAGAGAGCTGGATTGAAAGACGAGCAGCCGGGACTCGAACCGGCATCCATATGGGATGCCGGCGCTTCAGGCCATGGCGTTAACCTGCTGCGCCATAGCGCAGGCCCTAACTCTGAATTTCAATAGAGTTATAAAATGTATGTTAAGGGGCTGGCGCTGTTGCATCATGGATTGAGCCTCTGCCTGTGGTGCTAGCATCCCATGTGGGCGACGGTTCAAGACCCAGCTGCTCCTCTTCTGGTCCAGCTCACTGTGGCCTGGGAGGGCGGTGGAAGATGACCCAAGTGCTTGGGTCCCTGTGCACACGTGGGAGATATAGAGGAGGAGGCTTCTGGCTCCTGGCTTGGGATCTGCCCAGCCACCTGGGGAATGGACCAGCAGATGGAAGACAGCTCTCTGTTTCTCTCTCTGTAACTCTACCTCTCAAATAAATAAATTTTAAAAAGAGCTATGTTGGCCAGCACTGTGGCTCACTAGGCTAATCCTCCACCTTGTGGCGCCGGCACACCAGGTTCTAGTCCCAGTCGGGGCGCCGGATTCTGTCCCGGTTGCCCCTCTTCTAGGCCAGCTCTCTGCTGTGGCCAGGGAGTGCAGTGGAGGATGGCTCAAGTACTTGGGCCCTGCACCCCATGGGAGACCAGGATAAGTACCTGGCTCCTGCCATCGGATCAGCGCAGTGCGCCGGCCACAGCGGGCCGGCCGTGGCGGCCATTGGAGGGTGAACCAACGGCAAAGGAAGACCTTTCTCTCTGTCTGTCTCTCTCACTGTCCACTCTGCCTGTCAAAAAACAAACAAACAAACAAACAAATGAGCTATGTTAAACATACGTTTTGAGGATTGTAGGCATCTGCAGCTGAGACATAATGTATGTTTCTTTTTCTTGCACAGTTTTAGAGTATTATAAAAACATCTTTTGGGACAGAGAAAATCCATTTCCTAATATTTCCTATGAGTGCATTCTCCAATACTGGTAATATAATAATGGGTTAAACATTTGTTTCCTTCTACTCTCTTCTGAACATTCATCCACCCATCCCTGTGCTCTTAGAAACTATGTAGTTGAGTAGACGAAAGATGGGCTGTGTATTAGAACCGGCCCCTCATTTACAAAAGGCCGGACCTGGCTGATGCTCCACCCCTCAGCTCTTTTTCTCTTTAATGGGGATAAAGCCAATTCTTTCCCTCATTTTTTTTTTCCGGTGAAGATGAAAATGTGATTAGAAAACGTGCTTTTAAACACACCTGCTTAGACAAAGGAAAACATCAGAAGGGTTGGTTTGTTAGTGTGTGTGTGTACGCGTGTGTGTGTGTTTCATGTCACTGTACCAGAAGAAAGGGGAGAGGCACGTGGTTAAGCTGGCAGGGTGGATTCCACCAGTCTGACTACAGTTCCTTTTGCGAGAAGAGCTCAGACCCACAGCAAGGAAATTGACCCCGAAGATGAGACTCCCGGATAAAATGCTGGCCAGCTTGCTTGTGATTTTCAGCTTTTCCACCAAAGGTAAGGTGCTGTGTGGGTCTGCAGTGTCAAGCAAGCTTCTCTGGGAACCCTGAAGTGAGCCTGAGAGCGAAACGGCACAGCCCAGCCTTGCCCTGAAGCCGGGCGACTTCAGGCCTCAGCCACTGTCTTGCTTTTCGTAGGTGCAGCTTCCTGGGGTACGAAGGTCTCCTCGGATCCGGAGGTCGTCTGGGGGGCCTTGGATCATGACGTTGAACTACGCATCCCGGATTTCTCAATGAGTGACGATACCGAGGATATACGCTGGGTCAGAGAAGAAAGCAGGGTTGCACAGTTCAAAAAAGACAAGGACACCTACAGTCTCAATGGGACTTATGAGCTCGTTGGAAATGTAACTCTGAAAATTAAACAACTAAACAGACATTCTAACAGTAGCTACAAGGTTATCATATATAATACAAAAGGAGAGTGTGTGTTGGAAAAAACGTTTGATTTGAAGGTTCAAGGTAAGTCTTCGTTCCCTAAACTTCTCCGTTTCAGCTGGGTGCTGTTTTAGCAATCTGGGAAAGAGCATCTGGGAAATGTCCCCAACTGCATTTGCCACCTCCAGGAGCACTCTAAGGGACTTGTCTCCTGCCCCGGTGAAGACTTTGTTCAGGGGCGTGTGTGTGTGTGTGTGTGTGTGTGTGTGAGGGCATGAAATCCACACACATGGAAGTGCACGCTGATGAACCCTCAAGTGCATCTGCCCACAGTTCCCTCTCGGGCTGATTATAGAGCTGTGGGGCTGGGTGACCAACCTGGACATTAGGGTGGCACTAATTGGGGCCGGGGGACAGGCGGGCAGAGGAAAAGTTAACAGTTCCAGATGGGTGATGCAGTGGGGCACAAGGTGTGGGGCCGACAGGTGGAGGATGACGGGCGAGCCAGCTTCAAGCCAGGGGTCCTGGAGGAAGAGTTCTATGGCACGAGAGTTGGACACCATGAAGCCTTTGTTTCTGATCTGCTCCATGGCAGAGGGGTCAAGTGGAGAAAAAGCAAGAGGTGGGGCTTGTCTGTCTGCCTGCCCTGGGAGCGCAGCTGTGGACGTTGCAGATGGAGCCAGCGAGCTGCCAGAGCTGCTGCTATAATGCAGTGAGGGACGAGGGGCTGCTGGGAGTGCTGGTGAGGCTGCGTGTTGGGATCAACAGGGACGGCCCCCACTCCAGACCATTTGGCAGGAATTTTTTGGCACGGGGTCTGGGCCTGGGTCGGCTCGAACGCTCCCAGGTGAGACCCCAGGTGATCGGCGGGAGCAGCCTGGTTGAGGGATGAGTGTTCCCTGAGTTGCCTGTGAAGAAAGCATGGGGGGCGGGGAGGTGGACCTGAGATGCCATTGACATTGAAAGGCTAGGGTACATGGGGCAGGGAGCAATAAGAAGTCAGAGGAGGAAATGACACCTGGCCTGCCAAGGAAGACAGGAGCCCCAGCCCGAGCCCAGGTCAGCAATTTCATACGCACAAGAACGTGTCTGTGCTTCACACAGGAAGTGTCACGGGGCAGAGCCCCTCCCCCCACTTAGGTCCTTCTCAGCACCTAGGCCCAGTGGCAGCTTCACAGCCCCGCACATGACCCGCTCCCCTGCCACTGCCACCTTTCCACACCCTGGTGCTGCAACGGTGACTGCAGAGCACCTCCCGGAAGTGGGATGTGGCTGGGAAGGGTCCCAGAAGGGGCCTTGTGTCATGGGCTCTGGGAACAGTGCAGCCATGACTCCAGCCAGGTCGGCTCCATGCCCGCCATTGAATATGAGCCCCACACAGAGGCGCGTGCTGGGTTTTCCCAGTGCTGTGGTGTTCGGCACCACGGTGGTAATAACAGCTACGGCTAGGTGTCAGGTGCCTGCTTGCTGGTCTCACCCGAAGCCCTCAGCAGTCCCTAGAGGAGGTTGTTACTATTCCCCAGAGACCCGGCAGGAAGTGACTTGTCCAAGGTCTCATCATTTGTCCAGACTCAAACCTAGGGAGGCTTGGGCAAGGGTGGCGGCCGCCACAAACAGTTTCACTGGGATATAATTCACACACCATATGGGAGCCGGTATGAGACCTGGCTGTTCCACTTCTGATCCAGCTCTCTGCTGTGGCCTGGGAAAGCAGTGGAAGATAACCCAAGTCCTTGGATCCCTGCACCAGTGTGGGAGACCCAGAAGAAGCTCCTGGCTCCTGGCTTTGGATCAGTGCAGCTCCGGCTGTTGCAGCCATGTGGGGAGTGAACCAGCGGATGGAAGACCTCTCTCTTTGCCTCTACTTCTTTCTCTGTAACTCTGCCTTTCATACAAATAAATATTTTTTTTTTTAAAAAAGAAGAATGAAAAGAAGAGTTACAAAGAGGCAGAGGCAGAGGCAGAGGGAGAGGTCTTCCATCTGCTGGTTCACTCCCCACATGGCTGCAATGACTGGAGCTGGGGTGATCCGAAGCCAGGAGCCAGGAGCTTCCTCCAGGTCTCCCACATGGGTACAGGGGCTTCTGCTGCTTTCCCAGGCCATAGCAGAGAGCTGGATCAGAAGTGGAGCAGCCGGGACTTGAACCAGTGCCCATGTGGGATGCTGGCACTGCAGGCAGTGGTTTTATCTGCTATACCACAGCGCCGCCCCCCCCCCCTTTTTTTTCTCAAGTGCTCAGAACTGTATAACTCAGTGGTTTTTAGTATGTTCACAGAGTTGTACAACCATTATCACCACCAGTTTTAGATTGCAAAATTTACAGGGTTGTGAAATACCACTACACTCAACATCGTCACTACCCCGAAAAGTTCCACAGGTCTTAGCCAGAGACACTGGCCTCACTGTTGTGCGGCCTCGCAATTGTGTGTGCGCACATGTCAGTGCTACACAGCATCTTCACCTAGTTTGCTGTGGTCACCATCACTTGTCCTCGGGCAAATCCCCTGAGTCTGCTCTGAATATGCTTTTCCCGATAATACCCTCAAGGGCTATTCAGTAGGTAGGAGAGCCCTGCATTGCCTGGGACAGAACACCTGTTTGCTTAACATGAATGCCCTCTGAATCCCTGTTCCCACATCTCTTTTTCAGCTTCAGTCATGGGACCCCCATTGGAGAGCTCTTGAAACACAGGTGTGTGTGCAGGGGAGGTGATCCTAACCACCCAGAACAAGGGGCTCTCTTGTCTATGAGGTGCCCTTAACTATTGGACCCTATTGATCAGGTCCCCTCACCTCTAGGAAGCTGTATTACCAGGAGAATATATATGAACCACTCCATGAGGTTGTCCGTGACCGTGCCATTTATGCTAGTGTGAAACTGGAGCAGGTTTAAAAGTCTTCTGCAGTTAGAGACGTATTCGCTTTAGAATGCGTCATTTACAAATGGCAGAGAGTTGCATTTGCTGATGCTTGTAAAGGAAGTTCAGGAGATAATTTTGCAGTAAGAGAGAATAGGCAGACCATAAAATCCTATCATCCGGTTTTTATTTTTAAAATATTTTATGTTTATAGGTGTATTTACGCGTAGAACAAGTCTGGTAAAGACACACATCAAAAGACGGATGATTGACTCTGAGTAATGATTTTTAAGCCATTTTAAATTTACATTTTATCAATTTTATAATGCCTGGATATCACTGTTAGAAGAGGGAAGAGAACACATCCATGGCGTAACGATGGGAAAAACTGTGACCCAGTCCTCAGACTGAGACAGCCTCTGTGATGGTCACTGATGTTTCTCCGCCTTCTTCATTCTGGGTCGCGCTGAATCTCTGCGTGTCTGTGTACTCAGACAGGAATGAAACCTGGCTGTGACCCAAGGGGAAAACACTGTAGACTGGAAGTCAGAGAGAGGGGAGTCACTGAAAGATGAGTTTGCCATCTCATGGAGAGCAACAGAGACAGGTGGGCCACCGGCAGAAAGAGAGTCAAGGACAAGAAACAGAGAGGAAAAAAAGGAGACTGTCACACAGCCGGGATGTGGTGCAGCCAGGGCTGGGCCCACCCCGGCTCAGGCCAAGGCCCAGCTTTTCTCTTCGATGATGGGGCTTTTCAATGTCGTCACATCAGAAGAGGACGGGCAGGAGTGCACCATTATGCACACAGAACAGCAATGCCAGCACCTTGTGTTTTGCTTGGGGTTTCGCCAAGTGCTCCCCATTTCGTGACTGGCTGGGATATTTTCATGGGGTTCAGTGAGGCACAATGAGTAGCCAACCAGCTCTGGGCCAGGCAAGGGCAGAACCAGGTCTGTGGTTTCCAGGCTGGTGCCTGCTTTCTTCAAAGTCTTAAGCTCCCTAAACAGCCTGAGTGCGATCCTGGCCCTCAGCCCCCAGGACCCCAGCAGGGTTGAGGGGTGACCAAGGTCTCAGCCACACATGTAGTGATTCCAGGGAGGGTTTCCTGGCTGTTCTTGAAGCCCTGCCCCTCTCAAATTCCTGAGGCAAGCGGGCATCAGGACACAGTAACCCTCTCATCTATCTCTTGAACTTGGACTCAGAACGGTGAGCTCCTATTCCAATCCGTCACTTCTTAGTGGGTGCCTGAAGACCACCCACCAACCACCCACCAACCACCCAGAGTCTTAGGCATTTCATCTTAAATGCAAAGAAAAGCAGCTTGTTTGTTAGGATCAAATGATGTGATGGATGCTGTCAAAGCTGATCCCAACATACACTGTTCTTATCAGCTCAGACAAAATTAGAGCCAGGAAGTGATGAAGGGGGCGGGCCCACACCTGACTAGCACGGAGATTGTTTCAAGGATATGCTAAAGGCCCAAAGAGACTTCCAGTTCTGTACACACCCTGCATTGTACACACCTGGCCTTATGCATAGATTTCTGTATCGAGGTTTAACATTCCTAAGAGTCATGCATTTATTTGAAAGAGTTACAGGGAGTTGGGGGGAGACAGAGAGAGAGAGAGAGAGAGAGAGAGAGAACTTCCAAATGCTGGTTCACTCCCCCGAATGGTTGCAGTGGCTAGGGCCGAGCCACCCTGAAGCCAGGAGCTTGGAACTCCATCCCAGTCTCCCACGTGGCTGGCAGGGGCACAAGTGCCTGGACATCTTCCACTGATTTCCCAGGCACGTTAACTGAGAGCTAGATGAGAACCGGAGCAGCCAGGACTCATAGCTGTGCCCACAGTTTTAGCATTCTTTCAGACTACAGCAATTTAGGTAAAATGCTCTTGGGAGAGCACTTGCCCAGCAGTGACACCTGCACCAGTGATCTGAGGCCAGGTGCTGCCCACTGTGGCCAAACCCGTGAACTTTGTATGCAAGTAGCTTACGTAAATTTCTCCCCTTTTGCCTCTAAAATGTTTCCTCTGCCTCAACCTTCTTGCATCCGCCTGCTGCTTACTACAGCACACACACATGTTCCTGTTCCAGCACTCAGCTCTTCCCACGAGTCACTGTTCTTTGGAGAATCTCTCTGATTGTTATTTAGGCTGATAATCTGAAAACGTTTCAAGACATGACATTAGATGGGACATGCTATTTACTGGTATAATTTATCTATGAGCTTTTTCAGAAGCGCATTTGTTCTGAATTCCCTGTACAAGTAAAATAAAATCAACATGATTTGCAAAAGTTGCTGTGGGTCTTTGAAATTGTTCCTTGGTCCTAGACTGACCACTGGTTTGCATTCTGTGTCTGTTCAAATCAGAGAGTGGCCTGATGCGAATCGGATCTTCGTTTTCTTTTCAGAGATGGTCTCCAAACCAGAGCTCTCCTGGAATTGCAGCACTGCAACTCTGACCTGCGAAGTGGTGAGAGGAACCGACGTCGAGCTGACGCTGTCTCTGGATGGGAAATCTCTCAGAACACAGCAGAAGATCATCACGCACAAGTGGGCCACCAGCTGGAGCATGACAGCCAACTGCACAGCAAATAACAGGGTCAGCGAGGAGTCCACTGTGGCTGTTGCCAACTGTTCAGGTGCGTGGCAGGCATCGGCCACCATGGTCCCAAGTTCACTTGCCAGGGTCAAGGGCACAGTGGCAGGTGGCACGGGGGGAGGGCGGGAGGAGAAGAGGCCTTGGTGAGAAGTGAGGATGACCCCTTCCTCTTGGAAACCAGGATCAGCCACCCTCCCGCTGAGCATAACCTGCCCTCAGGAGGAAGGAGAGAGCCAGAGGTATTGCATGTGAGTCCCTAGTCCCCAGAGAAGGAGACTGACCCGCCCCAGGGCCCTCCTCAGCTCCTTAGTGGCTGTGGCTCTGACTCCGCCCCTAAAGATCCCTTTCTGGAGGGGAGCTGGTCTGTGGCAGCTTTGCTTTGAGGAGTAAGGGCAGAAAGGCTGTAGAAACCCTAGGAGGCAGGGGTGCAGGGGTGTGGAGAAAGGGACAACTCGAGTCCAGAAAGGCCATGGTCCCAGAGAGGCCACCCCCTGCCCCACAGCAGAGCAACCCTGCAAGATCTCATTCATCTCCAGGGCCCAGCTTGATGTGACCCCCGGAAGTAATTGTTGGGAGGAAGCCTCCTTTACCACCAAGGTCTGTCCTGGAGGCTAGAGGCCTGGGCTTGAAGTTCAGGTGTGTCCACGTGTAGCCAGATGACCTTGACCAAATCTCTTCCCTTCTCTGGGCTTCATCCTCCCAGCTTACGAAGAAAATAAGCCCCATGACCCCAGAGTATCAGACGAGGAGGCCCTTGGGTCCGCTTGTAGCCTCACTCACGTGGGCCTTGGGCTGTCTCATAACGTGGCGACCGGCTTCCATCAGCACAGTCTAAGAGGCAAGGAGAACAGGTGGCAGTCTTTTTAAGAGCTGATATTGAGAGAGCCATATCCTATGGCTTCTACTGTATGCTATTTGTTAGAAGCAAGTCAGAAAGTCCAGCCCACACTCAGAGCGGGGCGACACCCAGGCAGGAGCACTAAGAGGTGCGGATCAGCGGAGGCCGCCTTTGAGTCTGCCAACCACAAACTTAACACCAGCTCACTGCACCCCTCCCCGCGGAGGTGGCGCTGGGGAGGCCGCCCCTCCCCCTCCCCCTTCTGGGAGGCCCTCAACTAGCGCTTCCAGATTTAGCAGACAAACATGCAGGCTGAGATCCTTCCAAGGACTGCATGCTTATGCTGAAAAGCATCCGTTGTTTCATTCAAATTCAATGTTAAATTCCAGGCAGCCCTCCTCTGCATGTTGACTTTGCCTAGATCCTGCTAGCTTAAAGATAGGTTCCTGTTCGGGAGGGAAGAAGCACTCTTGAATTCAAGAGGCCGGAGTGGACAGAGCCCCCAGCGTGTGGTGCAGGGGCAGCTGCTGGTCCAGGCACAAGCCACCCGGGAGGTGCGGAGGAAGCCTGGGAGGAGGGCTTGCTCCCAAAGACCCTAAAAGGGATTTGGAAGATTGGTTCTTAAAGGCCACGGCAGGGAGGAGCGACGATTAGACTCCAACTGCAGGTACGGGGAGTGTGGACCAGCCACATCTCCCAGAGGAAGCGTGGGAAGAAGTATGGCTAGATTCAGACTCATGTTTGAAAGATGCCTGAGCTAAGCTGGAAAGCACCCCCGCCCCCCGCAGCCACCAGGAGCATTACTAGCTGTCTCAGGGGCCACGCTTGACAAACCTGGGAACACGCAGTCCTAAGCGTGTGGCTGCCTTGCCCAAGGAATTATGCAGAAGACCAGCCACAGGTGGCGTGGCCAAGGCACCTGTTTCCCACCTATTCCAGGCCTGCCCTGCCCTGCCTCAGCCTAAACCTGGCAGGTCCACAAGTCAGGAGGAGATGGGCCCCAGCAGCCCTAGCTCCTTTCAAGCCCGCATCAGCAGTTGAGGGTTGAGCCTGCTTCTCTAAGGCCCAGCCCTTCCTCTGCAGAGCGTGGAGGGTTTGCATCACTGACAGGGGGAGGCTGGGTCAGCGAGAGGCTGGAGGAGCAGACCCCTACAGATGGGTTTCTGAGTCTCAGGCGTGCCCTGGCGGCCCAGGCCGGGCTTCGAGCCCTGCGGTCCCATCCTGGGCTGGCTTGGCTGCAGACCTGTTTCTGTGATGCTGGGCTGAGCTCCAGTTTGTTCTCCTGATGTACCGGGCCCCCAACCCCCGGGCAGCTGCAGCTGCTGCCTCTCTAACTGCTATTGACTCTCAAAGGGCAGAGGGCCCAGGAGCCCTCGTGGGAAACAGCTTCCAGAAGCCTCCGCGCAGAGAGTGCTAGCGAGAGCAAGACCTCACATTTGTATGTAGTTTTACAGTTCACAAAGCACTGCTCACATCCATTATCTGATTGACTTCCAACAGCCACCCTGTGATGTAGGTTGCATTATCTCCATTTCACAAAGAAAGAAACAGGCTGCAACTTGCCAAAGGTCACACAGCTGTTGCTGTTGTCTAGCGGAACCTGGACTCAAACCCATTTCTCTTCACACTGAACTCACTGTTGCCCTTCTTGAGTTACCGCGACCGAGGCTCTGTGTCCGGACAGCCTTGGCTACTGCTCTTGCTAATTTTCTGTGTGTCTGGGCTTCTCTCCTGGGGCCCTGGGAAATCTAGGGCGGGGTGGGAGTAGGGACTGCAGGCTGTGAGGTCAGAGGGCTGTGCTGGGCGAGGGAGATTGTTCCCCTGAGTATTTGAGGACTGGCCGGTCAAAGGAGTGAGAAAGAATGGCGGTGCAGGTGGGAAGGCAGAGACGAGAGGTGGCAAAACAGGACAGACACACCGAGACAAGGAGCCACTTGGAACAGTGGCCTGCGTGGCCTCGGGCAGCTTGTCCTCCTGGGGTCTCATCCGTGAAACTCAAGCTTATGCCATATTGTCTCTACACTCCTCAGAACTCAGATCCTGAGCTGCTCCTCGCTGGGGGTGGTGGGCGGGCCCAGGCGCAAGAACAAGCAGGTGTTATTGGTTCAAGAGAACATTTTCCCAGGCAGCCTGAAGAGGAGGCTTCCTCTGGACCCTAGATCCTCCCAGAGATGGACACAATGCACTTTCCTCCCTGAGCTTGGATTTCATGAGGTTGAAAAGTCTCATCAAGCTCTTGCACCTGCTTGCGGGGAGGCAGGGGTTCTTGTCCTCGGCTCAGAGCCCTCCCTCCAGCCTCTGTCTTCTAATCTTGCAGGAAAGGGACTGCACATCTACCTCATCACTGGCATCTGCGGGGGAGGCTTCCTCTTGATGGTCTTTGTGGTGCTGCTCGTTTTCTGCATCAGCAAGAGGAAAAAACAGAACAGCAGGAGAAGTGGTGAGCCCCACCCCCTTCTGTCCACCAGGGGCCCTAGCGAAATCCCCATGGAAACATCTAATGGGGATGACACCTTATGAATACAGAGCCAGAGATGGAGACGGGTAGTTTCAGAATATCAGTGCTGGGACCAGTGAGTGTAGCTTGTTCCATTTGGTGGTTAGCTCGAGTTTTTGAAAAACACACCTCGGGTGGTGACGACGTAGGAGTCCTGAGAAGCATAATCCAGGCTGGCTTCTTCACCCTCCATCACTTGAGGCCGAGTTTTGAAAGGCAGGTGTGGTGGAGACTTTAACCATCCACACATCTCCATGTTGGGAGAAAGATGAATGGCAAAACGCCACGTCTTTGGATGGCCCTTGGTGTGTTCCGCACCGAGCTCCTGGGAACACAGGGACAACCATTTCAGGCCAGCGTGTGCTCCCAGGAGCGACGTGTGAGGGCTTGGCACGTGCTTTGTTCCATGCAACCCACCAAAAGGAAAAGGTTAGGCTCCCATGTGGGGGGCTGGCCCAGAGGGCATCCAGGACACCTGAGGCAGAGCACACCAAACAATGACAAACCAGGTGTCACCGTGGGTGCTGGGATGGGGGCGTCGGCCATAGGCAGGTCATGCTGGAGAGCTAGCAGGTCCCTGGGCCCCTGTGTATTCTCACATGCAGCAGCAGGGCTGGGTTTGCTTGCTCCAGGCCTTTCCAGAAAGTGGGCTCGGCACACCCTCACTGGCTACCTCTAGCACTGCCTGTGGACCCGGTCTAACCTTACCTGAGCCGTGGTGGCCTTGGGCTCTGTGCCCTTGGAATTTGGCTTCCTTATGTCATGCTTCTTTCCTCAGTTACCTCTTTAGGCTGCCATCCCTTGTCCCCACATCCCTAACCTGCACTGTCCCCAGCCCAAGCCGTGGGAGAACTTTCTAAGCTTAACAGCCATCCTTCCTACTGCCATTGCCGCCTCACTCTCTACCCCGAAGGAACAGCCGCAGCGGCTGAGCCCTTGGTTCCCAGGCTCCCTCACCTCAGTGCCTTGCTCACACACACACACACACACACACACTCACACACAGAGGCCCCCTTCTCATCATCTAATACTCAAAGACTGACCACATGTCCTCCCAAGGCAGACTTCCCACCTCACTCCAAGACAGGCGCTGTCTGCCATGATCAGACCCGAATGACCACTGTGATGCTCAGTTTAACCCATTGCTTGTGCCTTGCACTAGCGACCTCTGTGTTTTGTCATCCCATACATGATCTCATCCCACTTCCAGAGTGATTTTAGCAGGCAGATAATATTATTGCAGGGGCAGAAACTTGAACCCAGTGAGACTAAGTATTTGCCCCAAATCCTACAGCCAGAAGGGCAGAGCCAGGACCACAATGAGGCAAGGAGCCCAGGGAGCAGAATTTAAGGAGGTCCTCATCCTCAGACCTGTCCTGCCCTTGCATGACCCTGAGGAATGGGTGCTTCTTTAAGTTTTATGCCTCAAGCCTTGCTTGTCTCACCCTAGTCCTGGCCCTGGATTGAGCAGCCAGGATATGCAAATGAAGAGCCTGGAGGAGGTCCTTGGAGCAGGTGTTTAGACAGTGGCTGAAGGTGCTGCTGTTAGGGGACCAGGCAGGTCTCACAGAGCCGTGCCCGCCATGTGTGTCCAATCAAGCCACTTGCCCACAGCCCACTGTATCTGCCCGCACTCGCATGGTTCTTTGTCTAGACTTCTTTGGTGGCCCTGAGCTCTTCCCAGAGACGGACTTTGGGATTCGCAGGCCTGGTTCATTGCTTCCTTGAGTTTAGGCTTCCTGAGGACAGTGTTTGTGTCTGAGTCATTGCTGCCCCTGGCAATGGCACCTACCGCCTGGCGGAGGAGGCACACATGTTGGCAGAACAAATGAACAGAATGGGGTTGGGGGATGGGGATAGAGAAGGACTGCCACTGCTCCACAGCTGGGACCTGGGACCTCCCAGACACCACCCCAGCCTCCCCAAGGCACCGGAGGTGGCACCCAGGCTGTGTTTTATCTCTCCTGTGCCTTTCTCTTTGTGCTTAGAGCAGGTGGGCCGCTCCGCTGTCAGAGCCACAGGGCCTGGTTTGAGTCAAAGCGGCTGGGGCTTGCACTTGCAGCGGTCGGAGGCAGTTGGATTGATAGCATCAGCCCCCAGTTACAGGGGGATGCAAAGGCGGGACCGTGCCGCCCGAACGCACAGCCCCGTAAAGATGAATGAATGAACATCACTCGCTTACCCACAGATTCACACCACTTCTCTCCTGGCCCCCCCCCCACTGCAGCTGCTGCAAGGGTGGCCTTGGGCAGGGGCACAGGAAACCTAACTGGGAGCCTGAAGGAGCCAGAGGGGGCAGGCCTATGGGCGCTGAGCACCTAAGGGTTCCCGTAGAGTTTGTAACAGCACTGCAACAACTACATTTCTATTCGGTGTGGTCTGACGTCCTACAAGGCAGAACATCCCAGTGAGCGAAGAGAAGGGAGATTACTTCCTTCCCAAGCCCGAGAGGCTGGGCCATGACTTTCTGAGGGATGAGGAAGGTTCCCAAGGACTACAAAGCCTTGTGTGTGTCCCAGCCTCTCCCCAGAATGGGGGCCGCCTGACAGCAGGCAGGGGGTGGGAGCAGGGCTGACACAGAACGGGAGAGATACAGTTGCTCATGTGCCCTGTAGCCAATCGGATCTCATCACTGCGGGTGCAGTCCAGGGGTGGCACGGAGGCAGGGCCCCGGGGTCTGATGGTGCTCTCTGCTCCCGGAGCCCCAACACAAAGCCTCCACGTGTGCGTTTCCTCTCTCCGGTTCCCTGGGCTCTCGCTCTACCTGTGGTGAGCTTTTCTGTCTCTCCTGCGAGAGCTGGCAGGCTCGGCTGGATGGGAGGGGCCGCTTCCGCTTCCTCCTCCTCTTGGCACAGCGCGTGCCCAGGGCAGCTGGCATGCTGGTGTTCTGTTGTTGCAGACGAGCAGCAGGAGATGAGAGCGCAGAGAGCAGCGACCGAGGAAAGGGCCCGGAAGCTCCCTCCAATTCCAGCCTCCACGCCTGCAAATCCAGCAGCTGCCCAACCTCCCCCACCACCTGGGCACGGCTCCCAGGCCCCTGGGCATCGTCCCCTGCCTCCTGCCCACCGTGCCCAGCACCAGAAGCAGAAGAGGCCGCCTCCGTCGGGCACGCAAGGTCACCAGCAGAGAGGCCCTCCCCTCCCCAGACCCCGAGTTCAACCAAAACCTCCCCAAGGGACTGCAGAAAGCTCATTGGCTCCTTCCTCTAATTAGAAGAAATGGACCTTTCCCTTCGTGGATTTCTCCGCTCTGGGGGGCGTGGCCACACCGCCATCAGGTGGTCCCTGCACGCACGACGTCACCGACTCCCAAGGCTCGTGGGCCTCAGCCACGTGGGCTGCTCAGGCTGCCGTCTGCAGCCACTGGTCTCCTGGTCGCACTCGGCCGCCCTAGAAAGGGACAAACTCGAATTGTGGTTGTGAGGACCCAGCTGGTCTAGTGCTCTCCTGGTCTCCCTCCAGACCGCGTGCGAGCATGCTAGGGCGGGCTGGGGGACTGTGGGGCCTGGGGCTCCCTAAAGGGAGCCCCGTGTGCTTGAGGTCCTCTCTCCTGTGTCCTGGTGGACGCTCGCTCGCTGTCCTGTGAGCAGAAGGGAAATAAACGCTTTGGTTTCACCCCTGTGCCTGCTCGCTGTAGAAGGGAGCTCAGCGCCGTGGCGAGGAAGCTGGGGAGGAGGCTCGGTGGTGACAGAAGCATCAGCTTTGGCCGACCCCATTCGTCCAGTGCCCAGCAGCATGGTCACAATGTGCTGCTCCCCCCAGGCCTCCACTCCAAAGCTGGGCCCCCAAAAACTGGTTTGTAGATTTGTGTATCGTATTGAAAATGCTCCATACCAATCTCCATAGGTTTGGGCCTCACTTCCTTAGCAGCTTGGGCGTGGTCACAGTGCTCTGCAGAGCTGTCCCTGGAAGGGGAGGGGCCCCGGGTCCTGGCGGTGCCACGCGGAAGGGCCTGCCGGGGGACGGCCGCATTGAATCACACCCTTGCGTGTTGTAAAGGGCCAGGACTGGAGGAGCGGAGCCCGTCTTTTGGGGGACGCGGAGCAAAGAGTTTTCAGCTGCAGTTCTGAAACAGGCGGGGGACAGGCAGCTGCTTTGAGATACTGGTGTCATGCTTGTGGCCCCAACACCCACCTTCTCCTTGGCGTCTTACACTTGCCGAGCCTGGTTAAGCTCTGGCAGGAAGCTGGGAGGGTGAAACCACAAGCACCAAGTATATTCAGGGCTTCCGGTGAGAGCTTTCTGGGGCCTGAACCGCACTTTCCTTTGCATCTGGGCGTTTACTGGGTGAGTATCCAGAGTCCATGCATCAAGGATAATGATGAAGGACACCGCAGAGCCTCCCCAAATTCAAGTTCAGCTGGGCCTCCAACACCACGGAAGCAGAGGGCTCCCAGCTCCGCCCTCCGCCTACCTCCACTGTAGGCCTGAGTGATTCCATGGGCCACCAGGCCAGAATAGCCCCCATCCCATCCCCTTCCGGAAGCCTCTCCCAGCCTCTCCCAGCCCTGCCCCTGCTGCCTTCGGGAGCCCTGTGGGACGGAACACATTCTGCCTGTCACCATCCAGTCCATCACTGTTCATCGGCAGTGTTGAGATGCTGCTGCCTGGAAGCCAGGCGCCAGACACATTTCTGCTCTCAAGGCGCTCACAGCCTCAGCCCCAGAACGGATGTTACAAATGGGATCACTCAGGCCACAGGCAAGCGCAGGAGCCCAGCGGAAGGACTTTGGATTCAGATTGGAAGGTGGGACTGGGCTGATGCAGGGGTCTTCCTGGAGGAGGTGACATTTGAGTTGAGTTGTAGCAGATAAGCAGAACTGGTGATGTGGTCCGCGCCGTGTAGAAGAAGAGCATGGGCAGGGCCACCTGTTTACACAGCGTGTTGTTCCATCTTCCCACTGCTGTCTGACGCTGTGTGACCTCCCGCTGGCCCTATCTGGATGGACAGGCTAGCTGCATGCGAATCGCATTTTAAACACAAGCAACACACACACTACTAAGTCAGTAGCTTGGGTGAGGGCCCGAGCATCTGACTGTCAGTAACTTATCCAGGTGGTTCTTGGATAGCCACGCGTCTATTGGCTCTCAAATGATAAATCATCAATGACTTGCCAAAACGGGGCACTCTGTAGATAATACAGCATTATGAGAAGTATGAAGTCCTAGCCCAGGTACCTGTTCCTCAGCAGGGGACTCGCTGAAACACGGAAGCCAGGCAGGCTGGAATAAGTGTTGGGGACATCCTGGGAGGGCCTGTGAAGATAGGCGACCGCTTTTCCTGACAGCCTAGCTGCCCACCCCAAATAGCAGTCTAATGCTGGCACGTGGGCCCGCTTAGCTGCAGAGGGCTCTCAGCTATGAGTTGGCAGAGTCTTCTTGGTGATAGGTGTTGGGCCCTTCGGTTTGCCTGTGCCCCCCTTGCTGATGGAAGGCGAGGCCACACTCCTCACCTGCCCGCACCCTTCCTGTAGGACGGCACGGAAGCTTGTCTCCCGAGAGACCTCTCCCGCCCCTCCTCTCTAAGGCGAACCTTCTGGAAGTGTGGCAACCTCTGTGTCGTGCTCAAGTCCAGAGTAGCAGAAGACTCACTGACGTGGCAGCCAGAAAGCTCTGAGTCTCTCCCTCTCAGTGGCTGTGTAACTTGGAGTAATTTCTTCAGCCTCTGTGGACATTGGTTTCTTCACCTTTTAAATGGAGATAACAGCTCGCAGGCTCAGCGTGAGGACTGAATGGAAATAACAGACGTTGGTGTAACTAGTATTCTCCCGTCCAAACACATCTGCTGACTGTGGGCTTTCTTTCTGACTTGCTAGGCAAGAGGGAATATTGTGGCGCACAGACGTCAATGCTCCACTGATGGGGAAGAGACACAGCCCATCACAAACTAACAAATAAGCACGCCCTATGGGAACTGAGCCTGCTCCGAGTTTAATTCACCAGCGTCAGTCTCCTAACAGTTGGGACACATGGGACAAAGGGATAAAATCTTGCAGCAGGTGCATTAAATGTGAAGGGATGGACCCATGAGACCACCTCACACAGCCTCCATTGAGCCACCAGCCTGCTGTCCCCTCCCCGGCCCGTAAGCAAGACTGGTCAGATAATATCCCTGACCTCACTCTGCAAGGCGTCCTGCTGGTTTATTCACAGTGCCACAGAACGAGGGGCCGCAGCTAGTTCTGGTCTTTGAATATCCTCTTCAGCTCTCAGCAGATAGTGGCACGAGATCCGTCCCCTGTCAGGAGTGGCACAAAGGGGAGACCCTCCCAGCGAATGTTTGGGAGTGGGTGCTCTATTTGCTTCCGTAAATTCAAGCAAACAGTCCACCTAGAGCTCCAAATATGGACTGGCAGAGCCGCAGCCACAAGGACTGGGAAGGTTCTCTGTCGACTGCAGGGAGCTATCTTCCGGGCGGGGCGGGGCTGGGGCGATAGTAGGCAGGGACTTTCCAGTTAATTTCCAGTCCATAGAGGCTTGACTCATACATCAGCCTTACTCCCGTCTGACACCCTACAAAAATTACATTAAACTTGGTAAAAATAAAAGACACAGACCATAAGCACAAAAAATAGGAGACGGAACATAGCCGCAGCATTCGGGGAGTTTGAAAAAGTAGTTGGAAGGGGCTGGCCCTGTGACTTAGGAGGTTAAGCCTCCACCTGCAGCACCAGCATCCCATATGGGTGCCAGTTTGAGTCCCAGCTGCTTCACTTCCTATCCAGCTCCCTGCTAATGTGCCTGGGACAGCAGTAAAAGATGGCCTGAGTGCTTGGGCCCCTGCACCCATGTGGGAGACCAGGATGAAGCTCCTGGCTCCTGGCTTCATCCTGGCCCAGCCCTGGCCATGACAGCCATTTGGGGAGTGAACCAGCAGACGGAAGATCTCTGCCTGTCTCTTTGTCTTTCTCTCTCTGCCTCTGCTTCTCCTTCTCTGTAACTCTGCCTTTCAAAAAAATAAACAGATGTTTCAAAAAGAAAAAGTAGTTAGAAGTGGGTGACTAAGAAGTCTCTTCAAGTTCAGGTCACCTCAAGGCAGCGATGAGCCAAACTGTGGGGCACCCTGACAACTTTGTGAACTCCTCCAGAGGCTCAGGCTTGGTGGCATCGGGGAGCTCAGGAAGCAGCAGGGATCAAGAGCTGGAACAGGAAGGTGGGTGAAAGACCTGCTCAAGAAGCTATTACATGGGAGATTCTGTTCCCTTGCAGATCAGTCACTGCCCAGCAGACGGCAAAACAGAACGGCGTCTGGATTGGTGGCTACCAGGGACAGTGGATAGGAGAGGCCTACTTTACAAACAGAGGAATTAAATAAACTTGACCGCTGACTGTTGGGCCTGAGCTCCTGCCGCACCCAGCTTGCTTACCTAAGGCCGATTTATCATGATGTGTTTCAGGCAGGATATGGAAAAGACCTAGCAGCTTGCAAACGCTTATCAGTTCAAGAGAAAAGACTGGTTACCCAACGAGACAGCCCAGCCATACCGCCAAGAGAAGAGGCTTCTGTCGCTAGCCTCCCTCTTATTCTCAGAAGGATTTCCATCTTACTGCTCCCCTATTGAACAGGAGCACAGCCAAGAGTGTCCACAGCGATGAGGAAGGCCCCTAAGAGCAAAGACAGGGATGCAAGCAACAGATGCATTAGAAGCAAGAGAGGAAAATTTCAAACAGCACACAATACTTAATGTTCTCCAAAGGATGAGAAAATATTGCATCCTTGGAAAAAGCACAGAGCACTGTGAAAACAGTGTTTAGGGGCCAGAGCTGTGGTGTAGCAGGTTAAGCTTCTGCCTGTAGCAATGACTCCCCAGGTGGGCACTGGTTCAAGTCCTGACCACTCCATTTCTGGTGCAGCTCCCTGCTAATGTGCCCAGGAATTCCAGGCTCCTGGCTTTGGCCTGGCCCCACCCTGGCCACTGCAGCCATTTGGGGATGAACCAGAGGATGGGCTCGCTCTCTCTCTCTCGCTCTTGCTCTCTCTCTCTAACTCTGTAGAAGTGGGAGGGACGTTTGTGAAGTAATTCCAGAACACTTCCAGAATGAGAAGACACACGTTTCCAGATTTAAAGGGCTTGCTAAGGACCTCCAGTCTGTGGCTTAGAAGTCACCTCACCGTGTTACCAACGGGGAAAAAGCAGAATGAAGTGCAGCATCCATGGCTCATCTAAGATCCGTCGGAGAGACAAACTGCTGCACCCCAAATTGGAGAGATGGCTGGGGGAACTTGGAGCAGGAACCCCGGGCACAAGCTCTGTGGGAACCAGGGGGAGTCCAGGGAAGCGTGCAGTATGACCGAAGCATGCCTGGAGGCTCAGCACAGGCAAGGCTGAGAGACAGTCTCCAGGGGGACCCATCATTGGGACCCCCAATATCTCTGTGAGCTTACTGCAGAAGCTTGACCAGGTTCTCCTGGTGACACGGGAGAGCGCACCATCATACGTCCCCGAGGCAGGAAGATAGAAGTCGGCTGATGTGTGTGAAAGGGCCCTGAGGAAAACAGTGTACCTGCACAAAGGATGCATCTGCTGGTAGCATGCCTGCGAAGCAGCCCAGTGTTGGACACTGTGACATCCTGCCCATAGCTATAGGTGGTCCCAGCCTTCCCTCCAAGAAAG